CTTATGTATGTAAATTGACAATGGGTGTATAGAAGCACACACAAACAACATATTGCATGCGCACGTTTGCACTTGAATGATATGAGGCGTGTAAAACATACAAACACATGTATATATGTTTGTATGTGTGTGTTTATGGTTTGTGTTTGTTTTGCTACATGCCATTGTTGCCCCCACAATTGTGGCCGCATGCATATAAAATCTAATAACTGACTGCGTTGCAAAAATGTTGTTGCTATGATTCTATTGCCTTTTTGTTGGTGTTATTGTTTGTAATTTGCGGTTGCAGCTGAATTATTGCTTTTCGCAAAAATAACATTAGCGGTATCGTTAAAAAACAGCTACGTCAATAAGCTTTTTTTTTATAATAATAATGAAGCTAAAAGTTACTAATAACAACAAAAACATGCGTTTTAAAAGTCATAAAACATTTTAACAATTGCAATAACAATAGCAACAATAACACGGCGAAATAAATGCAAACATAGTTGGCGATGTCATCAAACTCTGTTGTCGTGAAATCGCTCTGGTTGAATGTGATGCACTGGTGATTGTTGATGTCTGTGTTGAGCGCATGGTAGAGAGTGGGATGTTGTGTGTACACATACATATATTGAATTTTTAATAACGGGTGATCCAAGTAGATGTACTTTTTTCAATAGCCTTTTCTTTACAAATCAGGCGTGGATCGAGTCAAGCTGTCATGTTATTTTTGTTCAATATTGCTTGGCATTTCATCATGGAGAGACTGACGTCTGAACAACGTTTCAACTTTGTAACCAAAATTCACGTTCTGCAAAACGCTTCGCTCTACTTATGGTCAACATAATTGGCCTACCGAATGTACTATTCACAATACCATCACTCATCTTGAGAACCAGCTGTCATTATTGTTTAATATTTGACCCAATAGACGACGTTCAGAACGCAGTGAATAAAATATAGCAGCCGTACCTGATAGTGTACACGATGATCATGGAGAGTCGATTCGCAGCCTTTCCAACTGAAGTATAAAACGACCTGGCTCAAGTTAGGTCGAGATTCTTCTTCTTCTTAATTGGCGTAGACACTGCTTCTCGCGAAAACTCGCAACGTCGACTCATCCGTTGTGAATATCTGGTCGGTTGTTGATTTTCCAGGTCTAAAGCCACGCTGACCAATCACACAATACGCTCGATAGAATCTTATACGCGATGTTAAGAAGGCTTATTCTACGGTAGATTCTGGGGTCCAATTTTTTAAGAATTGGGCATAGCACTCTTAAATTCCAATCGCTGGGCATGCTTTCGTCCGACCATATTTTACAAATAAGCTGATGCATGCTCCTTATCAGTTCTTCGCCACCGTGTTTGAATAGCTCGTCCGGAAATCCATCGGCCCCCGCCGCTTTGTTGTTCTTCAGGTGGGTAATTGCTATTCGAACTTCTTCATAGTCGGGCAATGGAACGTCTGCTCCATAGCCATCGATTGATGAATCGGGTTCGCCTTCTCCTGGCGTTGTGCGTTCACTGCAATTCAGCAGGCTGGAGAAGTGTTCCCTCCATAATTTAAGTATGTTCTGGGCATCGGTGACTGGATCACCTTTGGGGGTTCTACAAGAGAATGCTCCGGTCTTGAAACCTTCTGTGAGCTGTCGGTCAGCTTATCAAGCTCTTCGTACTCACGCATTTCGGCCTATTTCTTTTCCTGCCTGAAGACGCGTCTCGCTTCCCTCTACAACTCTCGGTATCTATCCCATTCCGCACGTGTTGTGGTCGTTCGTAATGTTGCGAGGTAGGAAGCCTGTTTTCTCTCCGCTGCGACATGGCACTCCTCGTCGTACCAGCTGTTCTTTTGTACCTTCCGAAAAGCAATGGTTTCGGTTGCGGCTGTACGTAAAGAGTTTGAAATGCCGTCCCACAGTTCTCATATACAGACTTATTCCGACGGAGCTTTTGGTATTGCTTAACGTCAGTTTACACAGCTGTATTAGTTTTGCGGGGATAACAAATTCAGACATCGCTGCATAAAGGCAGCTCATTTTTGTGCTGTCAAAAGCAGCTTTGAAATCATCCCACAGTTCTCATATACAGACTTGTTGACGAGTGCTCTCAGAGAGCAGGAGTGCAAGCCGAGTAGAAAATCGTTCGGCTGTCTGTTGTGATTGCAGCTTCTCGACGTCGAACCTTCCTTGCTTGATAGCGTGCGTTTTTTGCTGCACAGAGGCACGTGCGAATCTTCGCTGCAACAAGATAGTGGTCCGAGTCGATGTTAKGACCTCGCAGTGCACGCACATCTAAAACACTGGAGACGTGTCTTCCGTCTATCACAACATGATCGATCTGGTTGGTGGTTT